CTGACACAAAAATCCAAAATAGTCAGCGACAGCAAGTAAGAAAGTAGAAGCTGGTGATCAAGCAATCATTAGTGTTGAAAGCAAAAAGGAGATGTGAATACATGGCTACAAAACCACAACTGGCTTCTCAGTCTACACAATATGGCTATTGTTATGTCACCCTTCATTTCTTACGTAAAAGCAAAGAAAGTTTAACATTATTATGAAAATTATCCAATAAACATTGCCTTCATTCAGTAAGTGTCACAATATCTGTGTCAAAAATGAAATGTGGAAACCTAACAATTTTGGCCTGAAGGGAGGTCATACGATTATGACAATGCAAAGGGTAAATCTACTAAATAACATTTAATCTACTAAATAACATTTAGTAGATTTTCTGTGGGTTAATGTAAAGTTTGGTTTAATTGCAGGGGTACAGTAAACAAAGGAAGGATTCCCAACGGTGACAAGATCTCAATATCAGGCTTTGGATATTTGTCTAACATTTTCTTGTGATATATCACTATGAGCTAAAGTGTTCAATGGACATATCTGCATATAAACAGATCAATAGCCAAGCAGATCAAAATCCACATATTTACTTTGCTAATGTATTATTAAACAAATCAAACCACTCAATAAGAAGAAAAACCTGTTACAATGTAGGTAACTACACAAACACACAGACACATCTTACCTATAGAAATCACTGTCACAGTGGTAGTTTGTGTCTGGTTGTGAGTCTTGCTCTTAGTTATGCGCTCAGACACAGCACACTGGTACACTCCTGAATCAGACAGTGTGACCTCATCAAGCACTAAGGTGAAGTTGTCAGCAGCTGGACGCATCACCCTCACTTTGCGACTCACGAACTCCTCTGTTAGCTCTGTAACACCCTCCTGATTTATACTGATGATCTCAGTGAACGAGGACATTGGTGTTGATTTGTGTTGCCAGGTGACAGAGAGTTGACCTTGAACCCCATCCACTTCACAGGAGAGATGCAGCCCGCCCCCTTCGGCCACATTTCCTGCCTGCTGCATTTTGATTGACAGCCTGTTTTCTGTGAGGAGATGAGGCAACAGACAAATAGTACCGCTGTGTTTGAGAAGATACTCATAGAAAAAGTAATTTTACTAACAGCAAAAACACAAATAAGAAAACTAACACTTTGAAACTACAAGTGAGCCTTAATAACAGCAGGTAAAATCAACAATGTAAAAAGGAAAGTGAAATAAACCCTGAATAACTGAGTGTGTGTGTTCACTATGACAAACCCTGGGGCTGAAATGCTACAACAAATAATATTCAGTCAAACATTCT